AAGAAGACCATGCAAACTAAAATTATAAGAGTAGGTGCGATTAAACGGAGAGAAAGAAACGGCAACTGGCAACTACGTCCTTCGAAAGTTTGCCTTAATGCAAGGAAGAAAATATGTTCACTCTTCTTTTTCGCAACATCCAGATATGAACAGTCTGTTCACTCAAAATCAGTCTTTCGATTCCTTACTTATGCATAAACAGCTCGGACACTTTGTTACTTGGAAGTAGCTTACAGACAGCGGGAATAATTTGCTTAGCACAGGTGGCTATCCAATACGGTAAATCATTTTTTTTCTGCCTTTCCTTATTTCTGTGATTTACACCTTCTCTCGAAAGGTAGTATGTCGTTTTACTTTTTTAGCGCACTTTAACTGAGCAGTTGCATCGATTATACGGCGCCTTACGAACTACGACTTTTCTATATTATCCCGATTTTCTAAACTATTTAAAAAACTGTTTGTTATCCATGTTATGAAATGGCAAGAAAAATGTGACGAGGCGTCGTAACTTATTTGTTATTAAATTAATTTTGCCGTTTGTCTTTTACATTCAGGCTGCAGGCTAAATGCTTCGAGTTAGTTACACGATGCTTAAGCTTTTTTAGAACAACGTAAAGGTACCAGCACTTTAAAAAGTTCCGTTACTTTGGTGGAGTGCTTATTAAAGGGAAACAGGGAATAGGTCATAGGGGATTTGGTAAGGATGATTCATATGTCCCCTCAATAGGATAGAAGTACAGGAAATGCCCGCAATACCAGTGATGTTGCGTCAAGGAGGGAAAATAGGATAACTTTTATGGTTATGGTTTAGGCTTGAATTACTGGTAACTGTAAGTTGAGGGTTTAGCTTAAGGTTTGGGTTAAGATTGGGGCCACGTTTAAAGTTTATATTGTAGCGGCCAGCCAACACTGCTGGCTCACTTCCTTTTTCAACATCCACTGCTTATGGTCGCACAACTTTGCAGCGAGCGCTTTCCGACTCGCTGACCAAAAGACGCTTGACCGACCTCCCTGCGTGCACACGTGCGCGTCCAAATAATCGCGGCTACCAAAGGGCCACTTGAACACACCATCCCTCGGCCGATGCAGCAGGGAGCCACATTACCCAACAAACCCCTTCGGGCAATGCAACACACCAATCGTACACCACTTACACTTGCTCAGCCATCGCATAAAAGCAGCTACCACCACTGCCTCTCTGTCACACTCTCAGGCATGACCGGTCGCGGCCAAGACTAACCCTGGTATCGCCAGTAGCCACTGCTGACTGAGAGAGCAACGTGGGGTTTTGTGTACAATAAATCCCTCATTTAGGTGCCTTTTGCCGGGATTTTGCCTGATGACTGTTGTGCTCTAAGCACAACCACTGCTTAGGCTCTACAAATTGATGAACCCGACGTGCTACAGCCATGCAACTGCTCGAAACTACAATATAAGTGCTAATGTTAGGGTTAAGATGCGAGAATGTTAAATCTTCCTTGAATTATGTGCAGTACCGTTCTGCTTAGTTGGGCTAGACGTTTCTATATTCCCGCGCTTCATGGGACCAAATGAGTAATCTTAACCGATATTTCGTCTCAAAATGTTTGAGGTTACCTAGCCTTCGCTCGCCTACAGGTGACCATCCGTTTTTCTGATTTGAGCTCGTACACCTACAGAGCTCACATTACGTTCTAGTCTGCATATGACACCAGTTCTCGTAGCCCTTTTACGCTCACCTCTACTATTGTAGGCAGGCGGCTGTCCTGGTGGGTTCTACCCTTTCACCGATACTCATTAGTATATATGGGGTGCATATATGACACTGAACTCTTGACTAATATCTGTCAGATGAACAAGAACAGTGCTTAATACCTGCCCTGTATCGTTTTTCTTAGCCGGACCGATTTACATTTTTCATCATCTGTTTCACCGCAACAACTAACGAAATAAATACAAATTGAAATTATCTTTGAATGACTCACTTGAGAATGTGGTTTATGTCGAATAGCCTGTGAAGGTACAGTGGACTGTGTTGTTTTTAAGCCTCTTTATTAATTTATTTATTGCGTCAACTTGTGTTAGCAATCTGGTAGTCATTTGTGTTGCTGTACTTCTTGCAACCTTGTTTGACCGCTCAGTGGCGTTTTTTAAAAACAATTGCGTCTGGATGACTGTTTTTATAAAGAGCATACCTGGGTTTTGCTATTTCTGCCTCAGTGTTGTCTTAAGATCAAACTTGTGTGGCTCTACTGGGCAAGCAGTGATTTTGTTTCTAATTCGGATTGTAGGATGTGAAAATATAACGTGTGTGTACTGTGTCGTCTTGCCGATTTTCTGTCAGATGTTTCATCGGATCACAAACAAAAAGCTTCCCGTTTCCTTTCTCCCCTGGTTAAACCTTATAGCTGGATGAGTTGCTCTCTCGGGCAAAGCTAGATTTATAAGTCAATTTATCTGTTATCGTTAGTGAGGCGTCCCCGTTAAGATCGTAGAAATGCAGTTGATCTCCGTTGGCTGGCGTCTTCTTAAGGAATCGGTAGTTTCAAATAATTAATGTGGGCACTTAACGCTTACGGCTTGACATAGACTGGATATCTCTCCTTTGAGTTCGTAGGGTTTTGAAAAAAGTCGCGTCTAATGACTGTCTAGGTTTGCCGGATGCATGCTGGCCTTATGGTCATGTTTTAGCTACGTCTACTGCACACTTTCAATATAAACGCTCAGTTTTAATTCTTCTTCGAGCGTCTAAAGCTACTCGTTCTTGATGTAATTGCCCTTTGGCCTTTGCACTAGTACTTTTTAAGTGTTTTTCACCCTGTCCATCTGAGCTTATATTGTTACTTTTTGTGGACTTTCTCCTTAAGGTTCAGATATGCAATTTTATCAATTGTTATAATCCTGCAGTTGGAAAATGCGACAAAAACAAGTAAATAGTTATTTATGCCTCTGGCTTTCAAACCTGTTCTTTTGAACAGTCGCATATGTGACGTCGGACTGGTTTCGTGCTGGACCTTTATCAAAATTTATTTATTTTATAAAATTTTTGTTTCTGATATCTACCTAGGATTTAGTTTCTGTTTTGGGTAGTCCGACAATTCTCATTCTGCGGCTTCCTATCTCAGTTAGTGATGCTCAAATAACTGAGAATATTGAGGAGATTATTTTGGAAATTATTAAGTGCATGACTGGGAGGTGGGTCACTGAGATCTGACTTTTTAGGGTCAGAACCGAGATTTCTATGATAATTTTAGTCGAGAATAATCAACTTTTGTGGAATAACTACGCAAATGCTCATTCTACAAACGATTAGTACCACAAGTTTTATGAATTCTGTATGGCAAAGCTGTTATACCGTAATACCGTCATAAGTGTTAGCTAAAAGCCCAAACACGTGTTTTGCCTAAGTTTCAGCTGCTGGAGGTTATATGCCAGAAAACGTATAGGGAACGCTGGAGACTTCACTGGGGAGCCTAACTCCTCGTTGCTGTATCAGGCAGCAGCAAAAACATTGGCAAAACACATGTCTGGGCTTTTTTGGTACCTATGACGGGAATATGGTATAACATCTTTGCCAAACTGGGACTATCTCGGAATCTTTGAGACGCTTTGTTTTTTTTTCAAAACAATTCTTCCATTTCTCTTTCGAGTTCTTAAGGAGGATTGCGGAAGTCAATCTTCCGACGTACTTCGTCGAGCCTGCTCACCCACGATGGCTGCGCGATTTTCTGTCATTCTCGAGTCAATGCTGACAGATGCCTGCGCAGCCGTCAAACTTGCAAACTCTCCCAAACCGATAGACTTTTCTGGAAACTCTACAGAATTATCTCCTCAGTCGGCATCAACTCAATTCGTGCTTTTATTGCAAACGCGCATCTTTGCTTCCTCCAGTCACGCCAGCTACCTGACTGCTTCCTATCCGGTGGCCACGGCTGCTTCTGATTTGACGCAAGCCACTATCTCGACTGCCTGCACAGCCTGGCTTTCTGCGATTGGCTCCGTTGTCGGCCTTCCTGTTTTTGGATTCTCAATAAGCCAGGTTTGAATGAGCAGATCCAACCTTAGTCCTATCCTCTTTAAACCGTTAACCTCCTCCTTCCATGCTTACCTGGAATGTAGTTATCGACTGCAGCCCACTTGAGCTTGATGTGTTCTCTAGGGACATTTATGGGCCGTCAGTCGAATTAAATTGCAGTATGAGTGAAAAGACCTGCATACTTGGAGTACTGACGAAGATGGGGGAGGCTAAGATGGCCATTTGTGGCCTCTTTACTGTCACCAACCGGTGGTACTCAAAGCCAATTCTGTCACACCTGAATCCCGATTCACCGTTTTTTTGTCAAGGAACGTTGTTTAACTAAATACTTTTCCACTGAGTAAAGGGCCTCAGGTCCTGTCGGTTGCGAAGATTAACTATGTTGGAATTAATTTCACCGATCGAAAATAAACCTTTATGTCTGCCCCGCTGACAGTGGATTTTTGTGACAGCATAGATCACTGTCTAGCTTTCAATGTGTGACTAAGCAGTCGTCCTATTGGACTTTGCGCTTTATACGAAAAAGTGTACCAAATTCGGTATTATGCTGAAGGCATCTTAAAACAGCTAGTGGCTTGACAATGTGAGCGAAAATTTGATCAATGATAGCCTTTGACTTCTACCAGAGACAAATTCAGTATGTGCTGTTGGCCGTTTTCCGTGAATAATCGTAAAGTCTATGTACTTGCATGCATTTGAGCTGTCTTATGTTGTCCAACTAAACCATGCAATCTAAAAGGCTAAAAAGCCGCAAAAAATGCAACCATACCAATATCACTTTTCTACTTTTTGAACATAGTACAGGACACTATTCATATAAATGTACGCTCCTTGTCTGTCTTCTCCCAAAAGTGCTGTGTAAACTGCAATACCAAATAAGCGGTCCTGGCTCGCTGTCCGTTGATTGCATTCTTTAGTTCAGATGATGCGAACAATGTGTTAGTCAGTTACCTGCGTTTGAGGGCTTAAAATTATATAACCACAAGGACTTCATTTTGATCGGTATTATGGCTAACAAAGTGTTACGGTTTTGAGAAGAGGGAGGTTTATCGACCACCGGAATCATTAGTTTATTGGTCTGAGCTTTCGGGCCCCTGCAGGAGTCCATCGTCAGAGACGGGAAAACAGCAACAAATGACCTTTTCCCTATATAATATTGCTTATTTTCATTGATGCTTTTATTTCTGTAAATATTCCCACCCACCATGCCGATCTCGCCCTCTAAAACATACTGATAAAGTCCGCAGTAGCGAGTCGACAGCCAAACCACACAATTGTTGATTTTCTACATGTTCAAATTTTACTTGTTTTATGCACACGCCAGAACTAGCCGCCTCATTTGTTGCTGTTTTCGAATCTCTGACGATGGACTCCTGCAGGGGCCCGAAAGCTCAGACCAATAAAATAATGATTCCGGTGTTCGATAAACCTCCTTCTTCTCAAAATATACACGTTCCCGGAATGTGAACATTTGCCTTAAAGTGTTACAACCCGCGTCTGGTACTTCTGATTAGCACGAACACTGAATATCCGACCCCGATACCCAAGGCCCGTAAGAGAGAAGCAGAGAAGACCAGTCGGCCAGAGAGAGAGGGAGAGAGAGCGAGTGCTTGTACTCAGAAAAATCACTTTACAGCAAGTCGTTCTCACACAGAGGCTGAATGTAGTTAAGGGGGAACGCGAGAGACATAGCTGAGTCAATGGGCCAATCACATTGAGCAGACAAGACTGGCCGCAGCGAGGCGCTCGCGAGGCCTTTGTGTATGTGTGACTCATCATGGGACTAGCGGCATTCCCAACAAATCCCAACCATAAATGCAACGTCAAACTTAATCCTAACCATAAACTTGACTCGTTTTTCTCTGGAATTTGGCGCAAAGACAACTGTATTGCGGGCAATCCCTCTTCCCATGTCTTGTTGAGGGAGCCGTATAAGTCATCATTACCAAGCAAAAACATCTATTACGCCATTTTCAATGCAAATCCCCCGAAGTCAATTTTCGGCTTTTCAATTTGCTGTTGAAGGTCGACAATGCTTGAGGAGGGGCAGTGTCAATATATTCTCTGGGGAGCATAAGAAGAGCGCGAGTAGAAACTGCTGTTGTTCGACGACCCTATGCTATGAGGACTATTTCTGTCCCGAGTAAGGCATAACTGTGATGTTTTAATTCACCATGCTAACAGCCCAAGTCCTATCTACAAAGCCCAGACACGTGTTTTGCCGGTATTCTGCTGCTGCTTAACACAGCTACGAGGGGTCCGGATCACCAGTGTATCCCCCAGTTTTTCTCTGTTTGCTTTCTGGTTGATATACGGGTTTTTAAAGTCCAGCGGGCAAAAGTAGCTTATGTAGCCCCACTCATATAGCCCTTGTCCCAGCATTTTGTCTTGCAAAAACGGTGGTTATAGAGTTTTGTGGTGTGGGGAAATAGGGTAGACGGAGAAGGA